CGATTGTAAATAGGAATGATCCCAAATATAAGATTGCTAGTGGCAGGTTAGCAATATGGAGAGATGCCGTAGGAAATAAAGCTATACGCCTAATGTCAGAAATAACTAGTTAATCACTAAAATCTGACAGCAACTTTAAATGGTTGATAAGTCAACCATGGGTGGCTTAGCACAAAAATCACAGATATTTAGATAGAGTTGCCTTTAATTGAGAAGAGACAAACTAGTTCAGTCAATCTGTCTTCGTAAAGCCCGAAATTCTCCTCAAAATTTTTGAACATCTTCGTAACCCTCGCCTGAAATCATTCTACGTGAAAGTAATCCTTCATAAATCAGGGATGCCAAGCCTGGGTGGCATACTCCAAGTGGGACCAAACAAACGCTCTATAAATTTTCTGAAGAGTTTCTTGTCGAGATGGAAGAATCTCCGTCTAATCACAAGCAGGACCTTTGTCGCGCGTCTAGTTGCCTTTAGACACTGTGAAGATGGTTTAAGTGAGGAGTTTAATGGAACACCGAGGTCCTTCTGTTCGTCAGCATTTGAAGGGAGTTGCATATTGAGGAGGTGTTGGAAGGAATCATCCTCCTCATTGGTTCTTCCAGTACGGAACCTTCAAACCACACACTTCCTAAGATTAAAATTTAAGAGCCAACAAGGAGACCAGTTGCTAAATCGGTCAAGACTCTTGAAGTGCTTGCCTACAGGCGTCAAACCTCACGACTCTCCAGACCTTGACATCGTCAGCGAACATGAGGACATTGCAATCCAGGTCGTTGACAAAGTCGATGATATGGATTTCGAAGAGCGACGGCACAAAGGCCTAGCCTTGGGGAACACTACATAGAGCAGGGGTAGGGGTTGACTCCGAGTCACTGATGCGCAAAGCTTGCGATCGCCCTGTGGGAAAATCTGTGATCCATTTCAGCAGGTTTCCTCTTATTCCAATTTCCGATAACGTATACATTAGAGGTTTATGTGGGAGGCTGTAAAACGCCTCAAATAAGGTCGTTTACATAATCGCAGACGAAAAGCGAGCAGTCGTCCGGTAGTTCGGAAAAGTAAACACGCGACAACTCATTTGTTCCACGTAATATAATCACACATGTATGCATTAATCTGGTAGCACGGCTTACTGGCGATTCAAATTCGCACGAGCCAGCAGGTGTAACTGAGCAAAAAGAACAGGCAGTGAAAAAACACCTTTTGTGATACTGAGAAATTTTACTAGTTTGAATGCTATTTAAGCAATTTTAAGGAGAAAAAACTGTCGCACCTGAGAGGTAAGCATATGCGAAATACGAGCGGCCTGCTGCTAATAATGTTTGAGGCAAGTCATGGGGAGCCCATCGTGATTATTATCAATACTCTAAGGGTCACACGAGCAGTAGATCGCAGGACATACTCGAGAGCCGGAGAGGCGACCATGATACGCCCTTAATGGTGGCTGAGACTGTCGACAAGGTGACGAAAACAGAGAAACCCACCACGATCGTCAGCCGTCTGTTGCGGGTCGACATGAGGAAGAACTTTGCAAGGCCGTGTAGCCTAGAGCTACAAGATGCGGTAGAGGCGATGGCTAACACCATCGTTGCACTTTGCATACAGACAAAGAAGACAATGCGAAGGTATTCACTTAAGTGCGATTCTGTGACAATTATTCGAAGAAACAGTTTTAAGTAATAATA